AAATAAGAAATTAAAACAGGAACCCATTAAACCTCACTTGATACGAATAGACACCCTGGAACATGACGGAAAATATGCATCAAGAGCACATCGATAAAAATGTGGCTGCAAGGAAAATATACTCCAACAGGGTATTCAGAGTTTAAATAAAGGACGTAGAAAGAGACGATGCAATTATCAAAGGTGATTTCTGTAAAATAATAAAAACTAAACATTGTGCAAACAGCAGCCTGACGACACTTCAGTCGACCGTCTCCTCTGACGGGACAACTGTTGACTTTGGCACACGCTGACGTTACAGCAGCTCGGACAGGCTGCACATTATGTTCCACAGGACTCTTGAGCAAATACAATTATTAACGGAGTCTCTCCCACAATGTGAGATGTAAGTGGAACTTGCTAAACTCGTACATGAGTTCACAGAGCGAGCAGCCAGTTTGGATTTTTAATGCCCTCGGGGTGTTTCAGCCATTTTGTAAGATAATATGTTTGGTGTTAAAATGACTCTCTCATAATTTCTACAATGTTAAAGTCACTCGTTAAAGCTCTGGTCCTGCAGTTTGAGTTCCCTTCAGATTAGGATTATTTTTCGACTGCGACCTTTTTGTTTTGAGCTGTAAACGTTTGTCTTCAGCTTTTATACAGTGAAACATGATCCATATTATCTTTTCAGCCTTCGTATCGATACAACACAAAAACAAATGTTATCCTGCTTTACTTTGCAGTTCACACAGCGCAAAGACACACCTGGTCTCCGTGGGCGTGTCTGCCAATGATGATGGGTTTGGTCCAGCCGGGCACCAGGCGGGGGATGTTCTTACAGATGATGGCCTCTCGGAACACCGTCCCTCCCAGGATGTTACGGATGGTGCCGTTGGGCGAGCGCCACATCTGTTTGAGCTTGAACTCCTCCACTCTGTGCTCATCTGGCGTGATGGTGGCGCACTTGATGCCCACGTTGTAACGCTGGACGGCCTCCGCAGCGTCGACCGTCACCTTGTCGTCAGTCGCGTCGCGGTTCTCCATGCCGAGGTCATAGCTTTGAAGAGAACACAAAGAGAACAGTTTGAACTCGTGGAACCGGAGAGTCAGCTACTCAGAGAAACACACTGAACTTTTGAGATCTGCGACAATGAAATTCCTACGATTCAGATCAGAGATAATTCTTGTTATTGTTTTAACAAAATATGTAATAAACAACCAGTTCTAGATGAAGTTTTATGTCGATGCCAGTAAGAGAATGAACTTGTATATAAACATATATGAAAGCACTTCTAGCTTCAACTGCAGAGGCACGAGACACACGACAAACACTCCACTTCTAAAAGTGATTATTTACACTCAGCCGCCCTGCGGGACAAGCTAACAGAGCACTGAAAGGGTTTTTTAGTATTGCTAGTGGTGAATGTTAGAGCACAGGCTGTGATTTGAACCATAATCACTGTGTCAAAGGACAAGAACGACATTAACATGTGGTGAAAGAGAGAGCGAGCTTGTTCCCAGCTTGATGAATAACTCAAAACGCTGTCAGGGCTTTAGTCACTCCATATCTTGGCTAATTATATTCCTCATGAGACACGAAACTGTGCTCCCATCAAGAATATCCATTAACCTCCTGCCCCAGTTCCTCCGCCCGCTCCTGAAACTCTGATTCTTTTAGGCCTGACTGTTACTGGGGGATCTGCAGAACACAGTCAGCTAATGAAGACAGGAAACAAGGAATCTGTTGTGTAATGAAAACTGGCGTTCTGTCAACACGAGGGGAGGCTGATCCACTTGTTAAGTCTCTGGAAGGAAGTAGTAAGAGGAGGAAGTACCCCTCACCTTAGCTTATCATTCTTATCATTCTCTTCAAGCTGAGTGCTTCCTCGTGCACAAGAGCAGCAATGACCTCTTACCCACTTTCTTCCCTGCCCCTCCCTCAGAGGCCGACACCAAACCACAGCAACACGAAGCACAGACACACAGACACACACAGACACACACACAGGGCATGAAATAGGAAAAGTGTGGGTGTCTGGGCTGACAGGATTAGTGCACGTTAACCGACTGGTTGTAAATGGGCACAGATCAAGTACATGGAACCTGCATCCTCGCATGTGCAGGTTCTCAGAGAGTCTGACCAGGCTTTTAAAAACTGTATGGACTTTTCAACAGATAGCTCTGAGCTAACAGTTTCACATCCTCTACCCTCAGATCTACACTGACCTCATACGGAGGTTACACCAACTGTAACAGCTGAAAAGTTTGAGTCAATGATTTGAACAGGTTCCGGTTTAAGGAGAATGTTGAACAGGTTCTTAATAAGCTGCGTCCATTCAGCTTGCATCACATGTACTTAGCAGAAAACCTGCTCGACGCCCTTTGAGTTAGGACACAGTTTACTCTTTGAGTGTTTTAAACGTTAAAATTTACTTTTTCTATTCTACAAAATGTCCTGAAGACGTCTGAACAGCCGGTGGATTACTGTTTGATTTTCATGTGACCTGAGCTATGACAACCTCCCCCTATATTACGAAATCCCTCTTTCCTCACCACATGTCATTAAACGTGTGCAAGACCTGCACAATGAATCATCAACTTTTATACCCCACAAGAAAATACTGTCAAAAATCTTTCACATCAGAGTAAAATAAGAAGGAAACCAAACTCTGACGTGTTGACTCTTTGTGCACACCTCACAGAAATGACTGATTCACATACAGGGATGGTAACTTAAGTGAGTGGAACTTCATGTAAGGGTTATTAAAATAACATACACCTCCGAACAAAGTCCACGCGAAGATAAGAAGAGACACAAGGTTAGATGAGGAACTGGTTCCTCGTGTCACCTGGGTGCTGTAAACATTATTACACAACACTGTAGTTGAGATAGCGATAACAAACCCACAAACCACTTCTTTAGGAGCTGATCAGATGTTCTCATTAGCGTCTTTGCTTTTCCTGCTTTCCAAACAAGTCAAACAAGAAACTGTCACTCCTGCTGGGAGCACTAGTTACCACAGTGCACACTTCCCTACAGCAAAACTGTAATTAAAAAACGTAAATTTTCCTAAAGTATAATCTGTGAAAGTGCCTTTCTATAGACCCAAGAACAGATATTTCAAAAGCTACGTATCCTGAATGTTTGCATCTATCTGCAGTGCCCCAGTAACCATGACACAGAGGCGTCCTCACCTGTGCAGGTCGAGCTCCAGGTAGGGCAAGATGAGCTTCTCCTTAATGAGCTCCCAGATGACACGAGTCATTTCATCTCCCTGCATCTCCACCACGGAGCCTGACTTGATCTTCTGAGACATCTTAGAAGCTGGTGAGAGACACAGGGACGCAAGACAAAAAGAGAGATGATGTCAGGGATGAACATGTCATTGTGTGAGAATTAACAAATATTCAAATACAAATTAAATCGGGAAGTTTCTTACTGTCTTTTGTCATATATGAGAGTAAACTAAACTATCTGGGTTATTGGACTGAACTAAAGTATGCTTTCATTGTCATCGACGTTTTATAAAAAGATGACTAATAGAGAAAACCACTGGAAACTAATCAATAAAGAAAACAAGCGCAGAAACTGATATCACAAGGAAAAGTGTGACCCTGTGAACGACACTACAGTTCCCTCAGTGAATGAGCTCATTGAAAAACTGTTTGAGTCTGCAGACCAGTGACTCAGCAGGAATTTGCTCCGCAATCCTCTTAAACTCTGGAGAGTTGAAGTAAAACCCAGAGGCTCAAGTTGCACCGGAAGTCTGTGCAGCCACTGTCTTTTCTAAAAGAGAAGAACTGGTACAACTTGTCCATGTCTTTGTTTGAGTTACATAAGTCAGACTGATGGTGGAGTGATGGGGAGGAGACAGACACACTCAGCCAATCCAGGAGAGGAAGGCAAAAGCACCACACTTCATTCATTCACTACTACTGGTGTTAATATTACACTTATAATTAATTTTTAATTCATGTTATTGATGCTGATGATGAATGGGTCATTAAATAGCAGAAACATGAAAACAGGAAGGAAGCTGAGGCCTTAAATGATCCTGATGTGTCCTGTTGTCCTGCTCACGACTTCATTTCAATAACGATCATTAGGTTGACTAATATTTCCTGCAGCAAACAGAGACATGTGTTTATTTTACTTCCTGTCATTAGATTGTTTGTGTTGTGGCATCATTAGCATCACTGAGTGAAATTAGCTCGATCGTCTCCAGTGTGTGAACGACGCAGCAGCGGGGACGGTTTGATTTCATCCGGAGTAAAAACGTTTCTGGATCTTACCTGGTTCCGTTCAAAGTTCAGCGACACGAGCGGAGGCGAGGGTCGGAGGAGGGTGACGGTCTGATCGGTGACAACCGGTGGACTGAGCCCGGAGAGGAGACGCCTTCAGCCCGGTGCGACTCACTTCCGCCTCCAGGGTTCTCCCACAGGACACCGGCCAATCAGAGTCGAGGAAGACATCTCGGTAGCCAATCACAGAGGATGAGGATATCTCAGCAGCCAATCAGATAAAACCACGAATGGAAAAGGGGGAGGGATGACTGGGCGGGGTCTGTGAAAACGGATAATTTATTAAAAAATTAAAAAACTTTTTTCCTCTTCAAACTATTTTAAATGTGTTTGTTTTATTTTTAATGTATTTAAATAAAAGTTATTTAATCTGTGTGGATACACTTTTACAATATGTATTCATGATTAATTCTTATTTGAATTTGTTCGGTTTTAGTTTCTTTGTGAGTTTTCTCATAGTTTTCACAGAAATATTTATGCCGAATAAAAATTGAAAACTAAAATTGAGAAACATGAATGTAGAGTAAAAAAAGTTGTGACATAAAACAATAAATAAAATATCAAAAATGGGTAAATGGTCCATGATAATAATTTAAATATCAATTAATTCAAAATCAATGTTAAATAAAGAACTAGGAGATTCAATTAAAATAAGGTTATTACATGAATAATACATTTAAAAAAGCAATACATTGCTTTAAGGACTTAATACAGGCGCTTGTTTGTTTCCTAGGTTGTGACAGTTTCCCTAAGATTACTCAAATTAGCTCGAGGAAACAGCGCCCCCTAGCAATGTTATGTGCAGTAAACAGGCAGCCCGTGTGGAGAAAGACGGTATTGCACCGCTGAGGAAGATAAGATAAGATAAAACTTTATTGATCCACACACCGGGGAAATTCAGTTGTTACAGCAGGAAATACGTCAGAGGAAGAGCAGGTGATGACCTGAGAAGACGTCACTGCTGAAGTGAAGCGTCAGTGACCGTGAGGAGAAATAAATGATCATCAAGAGAAGTTTCTGTTCCAATAGAGAGAGAATCGAGTCAGGAACACGATGGCATGTCTACAAGTGTTTTTAATGATGTGAGCTTGTGTGAGGAGCGAGTTTCTGGATTCAAAGCTGCTGCTCAGTGACAGAAAATCAAGATGGAGCTGGAGAACCTGTGGACAGAAGAACCTGTGGACAGAAGAACCTGTGGTCTGGAGAACCTGTGGACAGAAGAACCTCTAGGCCTCTGGGAAGTCTTCTGTCATGTCTCCATTGAAAAGGTGTGGACTTGAGAACAGGTGAGTCAAACACAGGCGTCCTCTCTCTTCTCTCTGTTGTTGCTCTTCTCAGTTAAAGTTTGTGGCTCATGTTGTTGTTCGTCTGTCTTCAGGTCTTGTGTTGGTTTGTTTGTTGGTTCTGTTTCTTTCTCGCTCTGTTGTTGTGCTGAGAGAAATTAGCTTTAGCTTCCTATGGGCTATCATGGTACCTGATGGACTAGAGGAAAAATCCACACATCTACTCTGAAGTACACAATCTGTCAGTTAGTATTGTGTGGTGTGTAATATTCAGGCTGCCCTGTTTGAATGAGGTCACACACTTTGCAGAGCAGCATTTATGAGCTTGAATATTAAAAGCATAGATAAGATGCTTCTCTCTGACATGTGCCGTGTTTGCTTTTGATGGGAAACTGTTGATGTGATGAATCTGTTGTTGAGTTCTCATCCTGCAGTTTGAGAAAACTAAGTGAAATTGCATAAAACCACATGTTTTAATATTTGAAGATTCACATCTAAAAATATGAATATTTAGTAGCATGTCACATTTTGTGTTTTTTTAAGAGGAGGAGGCAATAATCAGTGGTTTAAATATCCAGTTATCTCTGCAGCTTATTCAAGATGTTGTGACACCAGATATAAAAGTGTAATCCTGTGAAGAATCTGCAGGGAAACTCACATAGCAGCTGAACTGAAGTAGTTAAAGAAGTATTAAAACAACATAATAATGATGATACAGAACAGAATAGAATATGTTTAAACAAAATGAATACAACACTAAAATGAAATAACTCTGTCAAAGGTAATATATTATTCATAGTGGATCATATCATACAGATTGTTGAATTGCACAGGGTTGATGCACTTGAGGTGAAAATGTATTTCCTCTTTTGATGGTGTGATTCTGTTCATTAGATCATTTCATGTCCAAACCTGCTTCTCTTCTCAGTCTGCTCCCAAATATTTTACTAAGACACTGAATCTGTTTTGTCTTGTTGGATGTTTTATTACATTTAGAAGAGACAAAAATAAAAAAATGCTAATTCACCATGATTATCAGATCTCAAACCACAGGCTGTAAATCATCACTGCTGGAATAATTCACGACTCAAGGTTTGTTTGACTCACTAAGATAATAGTTAAAATCTAAGAACTAAACACCCACAGCTCTGCAGCCTCGGTGGAAAACATCAAAACATGAGAAAATTCTAATATTTCCATTCTGATGATAATAATTGTTGATATTCAGTTTGCTGATGCACCCATACACTTTGCATGTGAAATTAGAAATACTTTAAAAACGATGTCATACATAAACGAGATGTTTAAACCAACATATACATTTTATATACACGTTATGGTTTTCTTGCACTGAAACACCAATAGATGGCAGAATTTCACTGCGCAATGAGAACTGAGTCTCCTGCTGCACGGAGCCATGTGGTCCAGAGGAAAAGACAAGAGGCAGCTCAGATGTTTCCTATGGTTTATCACGTCAAATCTCACAAACGATTAAAGAAAAGCCTAATATTGCTCATTTACTGTCATGTTTACACGTTAAAAACGGAGTGAATTGCAGTGTAACATGCAGGAAAGTGGATTTTCTTTGTTCTCTAAGCTGTGATTTTAAAAACACGCTGGTTTTGTTTGTGGTCATGTAAACATCAGTGAAAGACGCTCTGGAGTAGCTGCTCTGTGTCGTCATGACCGCAAACTGCAGAGACTGGATTTCTGTCTTTCTCGTCACAATGAGCGGGAGAAACAGCATCTCTTTGTCTCCCACCTCCACTCTGAAACAGGACCTCTGCTCGGCTGCAAGACCTGAAATGCGTCATGTGACTCTGCATCTGCTCTCAGTTGTGGCAAGATAACCCCGCAACGAGAGAGGGGGGGGGGGGCTTTTTACCTTGAAGACACAGGGGGAGAGAGAGGGGGGGGGGGGGGGAGAGAGAGAGAGAGAGAAAGTGAGAGAGAGAAAGAGAGAGGGAGCTGAGGAGGAGCTTGCTGCTATAAGATTGACTCCACGCACCATCAGCACCAAACTTGCTTCCATCCATCCTCTCTTGCGCACTCGCTCTTTGCCCACGCGCTCCGTCGTTTTCAACCCTCGCTCTGGTTCTCTCCTCCGCTGGAAGGTGCTCAGGTGCATCTCACGGTTCACGCGCGCTCTCCGCTGAGTTGATTATGGTCACAACCCCCGCGGTGCCAAGGTGGAGCCACCGCGCGTATCTCGGATCGGTGCGCTCCTCCAGGGGCTGGGATGCGCACCGGGCACCTCTCGCTTCCTGCCGGGTTTCGGGTCTGAGCAGGAGTCCAGCTCTGGCCCGGGTCGCCGCGCCAGGAGGAGCCAGTCCACCCGGAGCAGGATGCCGGTGATGAGAGGGCTGTTGGCCCCTCAGAACACCTTCCTGGACACCATCGCCACGCGCTTCGATGGCACCCGTGAGTAACCAGAGCTTTGTATACCTGCTCCAGAACTGCACCTCATGTTGCAGGATATTTGACCTTTGACCACCACATAGATGCATTTGTTTCAGGAGTCCTCTCTTGGATGAAACTTTAAAAGTTTCACCTTTTCTACCTGATATAATAAAGGATTCAATTATGACAATCTCAGTGTAAAGGCTGTGTTTTCCATCTGCAGCAGAGGAAAAGATCAGACCACACTTTCACACCATGGGCCTCGAACAAAGCAGTTTAATTCATCAGCCTGAAAGTTTTATAAATGCACACAGAAGCCTGCAGGTGCACGAACAGTGTGGTTTCAGTGTTGTGGTGTGTTCTTCTAGAAGCTTGCAGCCTCATGCACTAAGGTTTTCTCGTCCAGCTCGTAGTAGTGTTTTGATTCAGGCGGCCGTCACTTCCATTGTGTCTCTGCTCCACCGTCCTCCAGCCTCCACTTCACAGTGCGAGGCTGCTCTGACACAAATCCTCTTTTATTCTGCTTACTATCATTACTCTGAAATGATGCTGGAGAGAAGGAGGTGGTGTGTATTGACCCTTTCTCTTTTTTCCTTCTTTGGCGAGGGTGTCATGTGAACAGATGCGATGAGCAGCCCGTGTGTGTTTGGGCCCCTGCTGGTTAGGTGGGCGGGTGATAGAGGCTTGTGTGGCGTTTTGGGCTGTTTGTCTTTCCCTCTGCGTGGATCACTCAGGTTCGATGGGAGTTTGTGAGCCAGTGTCGCCCTGAAACCATTTACCTGTAACAGCAGGATAGAAGAAAAGATCATCTGACCAAAGGAACATCCACAGCTCACTCCTCTTGTTTCCTCTTCCCCCTCCTCCTCTTGTTTCCTCTCCTCATTTCCTCTCCTCTCTCTTCTCTCCTCTCTGCGAAGCAAAGAAGTGAGATGTTAGCTTTTCATCCGAGGCTTCTGGGAATGTGCCGTGAGGATGAGAAGGAAAGGAAAAAGACCAACGACTTCTCTGTGCTGTATTGTCCTTTATCTTCACACTCTCTGCTGTTATTCGGCACATGACAGAGTCACCGCATCCACAAACACTTCAGGTCTCAAACACTGTAATCATGCATTATTCTGCAGTATTCAGAGGAGACGCCTGCGTGTGCACAAACGCTCACAGCCTCCACACATGCTGACACACAACTCAAACGGAGAAATGGAAATGAACCCGTTCTGTTCCACATGTTCTGTAGATTAGCCCCTCGTGCATTTTTCCTGAGGGGCTAAAACACCGGCCTCGCACTTGACGAGGTGCAGATAATTACACATCTCCAGCAGTGCATGTGCAGTCATTGTAATTAACTCGCATGGATGTCAAGAATTCATTGTGGCCTTTCTGCCTGTCAGAGGGGGCGGGGGTGCTGAGATGAGCGGCTGTGGGGGTGGGGAGGGCGGGAGTGTTTGCGCA